ATATTTTATCAAGTGAAGAAACTCTGAATACCTCTTTATTTTTCTAATTCAATCTTGTTTGTTTGATAAACTTTTTGGGTTTCTTGAAAATGTTTTTCTTATTCTTTATATTCTTGACTAAATTGCCTTGTCCGAATTTTTTTATACATTCTCTTTTTTTCATTCTTTTACATGATATGCAGCTTGAAGGTATATTTGCAAATACTATGATTTCCAAGAGAACAACAAAATTATTTCAATTACATTTCAATAAAATTATGATTTTAATATTTGTATTGTATAACTTTGCAAATAATAAAAGTTTCTGTCTATTGCAATATAGATTAATAAAATTAAATAAGTATTAATTGGTACATCAAGTTATCTAACAATACTAATTTCTATCTTATATTTTTCTTATCAATGCGTTTCCCTATAATTAACTTTTATTTTACCAAAATATCTAAAAGTAATCTCAAACAAGACATCTATAAAATATCTCAAAGACGTCATAAATCGAGTCATAAGACATTGTAAAAACGTTATAATGACTTCTTTCTGATAGTTTTAAGACATCTTATAAAAATATACGTCTTTTAGGTCTTTAAGACGTCATAATGTCCTGAGTTCACATTCGTGAAACGTTATTTTTAATGACTCTTCAAATATGCAAGCCGATGATACGTCTACTTCACCTCAATGCAGTTCAAGACTTTCCCCATGCGAAATTAAGGATGTGTATAGTACAAGGTTGAAACACACGTGCAACTCCCGAATAGTCCTCGCTACGAAACAATTTTCGGAGTGGCGCGTGTGAGTAGATAAACACCCGCGATATTTTTCTTTTTACACACGCGAACAGAGTTTGCAGAAGTTTGATGATTCGCGAAAGCGATTTTAGTGAAAGCGAGTGCTGTCGTTTCTCCGTCCTATTCTTTCGCTTCTAAATCCTGCCTCATCTGTTTGCAGCGAGAAAATTTTATTTGAAAAATTGTGAACGACTTACGTATCCCTTCATAAGGAAAATGAATATTATTATATGAAGCATTTATTTATATTCCGAATGTTTCTTTTTAATCGTTTTCTAGAGTTTTCAAGATTGATAATCAAATGTAAAAAAAAAAATTTTTTTTAATATTATGAAATTATTACTGAAATTCACATTTCGAAATAAGAGTAATTAAGAATGACTTTCGAGATTTCAAAAGTGACTTAGTTCGAACTGTACAGATAAGACGCAATCTACTAAAATAATCGTACAAACATTTAACGCAATAAGATTAAACCGCGTATTCCTTTTATTCAAGATCTTCGAAGTCGATGACGTTTTAGCACGCGATCGTAAACGTGCCATTGCTTCTCATGCATACACACCTACACAAAATAGCGAAATCTATCTAAAAGAGCTATCTATAATTGAAAGACAATTATGCGGTGATACATCGTATTTTATTCCTGATTATTTTTAACTGGTTTTCATACCTCATCCTACTTGGCACAAAACGTGCTGCAGCATTCGGTTGTTAGATTTAATCGTCGAAACTGATAGACGCATTAATTATAAATAAAATTGGAATTAATCTTCCAGATTTAATACTAAATAAAAAGAACGATAATAAATTTAATTTTAAATAAAATATTAAAGGAACGTATAGCCTCCTCCCTACTTTTAATTCACCATGCGTCTAAAATTAAGATTAATTGTCAGTTCATTAGTCCATCTTAGAAATCCTATTCGATGTTAACACATAAAATATCTCTAAAAATGGAAAATCTCGACACGTGAAAATCTAAAAATGTCAAAAATTGAAGGAAATGCAATGCGAAAGCTAGTAGTGTCCTGAAGATCACGTCGTCGGTTTTTCCGAAATAATCACGTCGAGATTATCACGGAGTTGTTCACAGCCGCGCGGCTATACGCCAGATAAGATAAATTTAACATTTCTCCTGGGTATTATACCCCCGAGCGACCGATGACGATTCGCCCTTCATTGTGCCACACAGCCGCGTCACCTAACCTCTCTCTCTCGTGCGCGCAAGCGCATGCGCGCGCGCGACCTAGCCTGTCCACTCGCGGAGGAAGAGACCGAATTATTTTCGCAGCGCGCCGCGCCCGGGACATCCGTAATCAAATGGATATTTTTTCCTCTCTCTTTCTCACTCCTTCTCTTTCTGGTTCTCAAACCCCCGCGAATCTATCTATCCGGTCCGGTCCGGTCTGATCTATCCGCCTCGCACGGTCCTCTATGTCACGCAAGAGCGAGAAGAACGGTCAATTCCTCGGCCAGTTAACATCGATTAGCTCCGTCAAGCGCCCTTCGACCGTGCCATGTAGCGCGCGCACACGCGCGCGCGCCACACACACACACACACACACACACACACACACACACACACACACACACACACACACACTCACTCACGCGCGGTATGCTTCACGCTAGATCCGTTAGGTACTCGTATACATAATCGTGTGCACGATGTCGGCTCCGGCGCATTAATCGAAACGCGCGACGAACAAACGACGGAAAATAAAAACAACGATCGTAACTTTTCATTCGCGCCGCTACAAATTATGATGTAAATAAAAAAAAAATTACGTCGTCTTGTACGCACAGATCGCTTCAACCTATGACTGAGACTCGAAAAATCCAATCTTAAAAATAAAGAAAAAGAAATGAAAGCGAAATAAAAAATCATAAAACTGATATAATTTCGCCGGTTCGAATTCGTAGATTCGTTTTCGATATTTTTATATTATGACGCGGATAAGAGATACAGAATAAATAGCGTAGGACAGGCTTTCTCCCGTCCACATGGAAGATTTACCGCTTCCGTTCCGTCGGTTAAAATGCGAATCTCGGGCTCTCCTTTATTCCTAGCGGGTCAGGAACCGGAGCAGCTGTCTATTATAAAGGGCAAAAAGAAAAAGAAAAATATCTGGACGCTTCTCTCCTTTTCCCCTTCCCCGAGGACATGTAACGCAGCTTGAGAAAGGTGCAAAGGGTCGCTCAATCTCCGCGTGTATTCTCCCCTGTTGCTGCTGTGAAGGATCATTTATACGTCGCAAATTCAAATGAAAATCTCGGCTTCCTTTCGGCCCGGAACGACGCAGAATGCGTCGAGAATGCGAGAGTTTGCGCGTCCCTGGGACTTTCTCCTCGTTCGCGCACCCACAGCGGCCCTACGAGGCTCCGTGATCGGAAACGTCGATCGCACGAGCGCATTTCTTGCGAGGTGAAACGATCCCTGGCCTCTCTATGCACTCGCAGTCGCCCCGGGAATTGCTCCGCCTTATAGTTATACATATATGTATATGTATGATTATATATACATACTATATATATATATATATAATATATATTATATATACATATATATATATATATATATATATATATATATATATATATATATATATTATACTTA